CCTAACTCTATTTGCAGGAAACCCCTCACGGCGACGGCGCTCCAGTTTCGAGCAGCCTGCTGTTGATGTTGGAAACTCTTCCCTGTTGTTCTCACACTCTCTCTTTGGAAGGAGAAAGGAAAGAGGAATTTCACACCAGAGCGACATTACCAAAGAGTACAAACCTCCGCAACCCTCGAAGGATGCCGGAAATGTACCGATTATGTTGCCCCCAGACTTTCCCTGCTCCCTCAAGACTTCAGAACAAGAGATCGTACAAAGAGCAAGAGAGGTCCTCGGGGACAAACCTCTGTCAGAACATCAACTCCAATTCGTCCCCCAGTGGGTGATCGATAAGTCCATTGCGAAGGAGAAGGAGAATTACGATGGCGCTTACGAAGAACTCCACATCAGCCGGCTTCCTCCGAATGCAAACTTGATTTCGTCTCATCACTTCTTTCAGTTGAAACACGAAGGTGAGACGGACAAGTTAAAGTTGAAGTGTAGGCTCGTCCCTCATGGCAATCGTGACCGGGATAAGGAAAAAGTCCGCAAGGACTCCGCAACAGCGCAATTTCCGATTATCCGCATCGTGTTGTCAATTGCGGCGATTCTCGGAATGATCCTGGGCTCCATCGATGTCAAAAGTGCGTACATGCAGGGAGGTTGGCTAACTCGCAGTATATACGTGAGGCCACCAAAGGGCTGGACATCCATGCACAAAGGGATTTGGAAGCGCCTGAAGCCAGCCTATGGCATCGTAGAGTCCGGTCGAATTTGGCAGCTAGCAGTCAAACGGTGGATGTCGGGGCAAGGGATTATAGAAGTGCCCGGACTCCCTCAACTGTTCATCAAGCGCCGACTGGACGGAGGAATCCTCCTCGCCATTCGCAAAGTTGTCGACGACTTTCTCATGGCTGGATCCCAGAAGGACATCGACGAATTCCATGAAAGCATGCTGAAACGATTTGAGATTGGTCGTTTCGTCACTGGTCGGGACCTGATATTCAATAGGTTGCACATACATCAAAAAGACGATCGAACAGTTCACATCAGCATGAAGGAATACCTGGGAACGATAAAGCCTCTTGCCGTCACTCGGGAGCGACGCAAACAGTTCGATTCGCCATGTACGGCGACAGAGCTCACAGCCTACCAGGGCCTCGCAGGATCGCTCAACTTCCTGGGGCACGGTATTCTACCTCCAGCTTCTTTCGCAGCCAGTTTCCTGCAGCAAGCTGTTGGACGCCTCAAGGTCTCAAACCTAATTACGGCAAACAAGTTACTGGTGGAAATCAACAAACTCGAAGCAGACATCACATTCCGTTCTCCAAATAATCTCGACGTTACACCCTCGTACCTCGCCTTCTCGGACGCGAGTCACGGGTCGACCTCTTATGGACAGACAGGTTATATTTCGGGTATATACCTCCCAGCGGGGGGTGTGGGGTTGTATCACGTCATAGACTGGTTGAGCTGCAAGCAAACTCGCGTAGCCTTTTCCTCAATCGGCGCCGAGATACTTCCTGCAGCCATGTCTGCTGACCGGGGATGAATGATAGCGGAACGACTGAAAGTGGTGTTTTCTGCAGAGCATCCTCTCCCGTTTGTGCTAACGGTCGACACTCATGGCCTGTTCTCAACGGTGACAACCTTACACGAGAGTAGTGACTATCGTCTTCGTCCCACTGTGGCAAGGATGAGGGACTCATATGAGACCGGAGAGATCAGCGTCATGCAATGGATAGCCGGAAAACGGAACTTCGCAGACGCCCTCACGAAGAGAAATTTGGACATGTTCAAGAAACTGAACGACGTAATGAGGAGTGGATTCTTGAACTCAGAGATATTCAAGTTATCACAAAGGGTCTCCCAAGTTTATTGATCACTCCTCATCATCAAGAATGACCCTTTTCGTTTTCGATTTCTTGTGGGTAAACTTGGATTCATTCCCCTTCTTCTCACTCCTGCGCTCCCGCTTGACGCTATAAGAGATGCGCTTATTCGGCTTCTTCTTCTTACCAGAAGCCACTCTCTTGCCTACCTCTTGAGCGTAGAGGAGCCTCATCTCGGAGATGCCCATGAATTGCGAGTCATCCCCGACGCACACGTCAAAAATCCGGGAACTGACACGAAGAGCAAAGCGCTCAACGCAATCGAAGACAACCTGACGGCCTGCGTCGTATGCAACAACGTGGTCAACCTCCTCATCATCGCGGTTCATTCCAGAAAGCCGGAAGAGGTAGATTCCGGTCCGTTGATAACGCAACCACTCCTCCTCGGTCATGCCCCGGTCTGTAGCATATCCCGCTCCCGGAATTAGACTTAGATTAGATATGTAACTGTAGAGCCCGAGCTCTACAGTACCTCAGTGCGCGCGCACACGTGTACCCCACGTGTACGGGGGCGCGCGCACACACGTGTACTACACGTGTGCTGCCAGCCCCGACGGCTGACAGCACTACAGTGCAGGCCGACCTGCACTACTGTAATGTTATAATAGGTGACTCTGTACATTAAATATGAGCGGACCGCCGGCTAGGGAGGACGAAAAGCACGGACTTGTCAAGGATCCTCCACCTTGGTCCGCCCGCTTACTTTGAGGTACTCCCTTTAGTTACCTTAGAGTAGCACCGCGCGCGGGTTGAGGACGCACGCTACACGCCCACGAGCCGGCTCCGCCTCCGCCCGTCGGTACTGGATCGTCACCCAGTACCGCTCCGGGGCGTCGAGGCGTCGAACCGCTCTTGCGTGCGCACGTCCTCCCCGATCCCGCTCTATCACCGCTACCTCGAGCCCGTGCTCGGTACCGTGGGTGGGCCGTGCTTCTATCTTCCCGCCGATCGGGGTCTTTCCGAACTGTCAGTACTCACCCCCCTCGTCGTTGGGGGTGATTATACTACACGGTCCACTTTAATTTGTCGGAGCCCCAGAACCTTGACGTTGTTCTGCACCCAGGCAGATGCGTCTGCCAGGCTCCGACAAGCCATTACGCCCCGCTGAAGCATGCTGAGGGCGATTTCGGGTCTGTAGAGCATGGATGCCGTTCGCCAAGGCTGCTCGCAAGCATTGGCCGTGACAGGATCTTGCGAATACCGGCAAGCTTGAATGCAGAGAGGCGGCATGCCTTGACGGACCACGATCACGGGGACAGCTTAGAGTGTAAAATCGGTCAGGGTGCTCCGTGCACCAATCGTCGAGTGCGTCGAGAAACGCTGCCTGCCGGCCCGGATTGTAAACAAGTTCCACCGAGCACCCCTGCCGCCCAATCCGCCCAGGAGATATTTCCAAGTCCGACTCAATCCCACTGCCCAGCTCAGCGTCGAGGGTGGAGTCCCCTCCTAGCCGACGCGTTTCAATTGTGTGAAACGCAATGGGCCAGAACGTACACGGTCTCCCTCGAAGAAGGTCGGAGGCGAAGTACCCGGGGTCCGCTCCACCAACGAATCGAGTGTCCCGGCCTGAGCTGAACGCGACGCGGCGAATTTCATACGCCTTCCCTTCCTTACCGACATCCCCACATTTCCTTACCTTGCCACCGCCTTCATCAACTTCCATCACCTTCTTCGATCTCGATTTTCAATACTGGTCTGCGGCACGGAGGTCGTCGGTGAAGCCAAGAAAACGGAGCTGCATCAATCCGAAGCGCGCTGTAGGCCTCGCCGCGACCCAAGCAGACAGGACTGCGACGTTGTCGCTAGGGATGGGGAGCGCTTCGAAGAACGCGCGCGCTCCCACAGTAGTCGTTGTGTCCTTCACGAAAAGGTCCACGGTAGACGCCAATCGTCCGGTGGAGAAGCTCGCGAAGGAGACTCTCCTCCCTCTGCATGTTACAGTGGTGATGCCTCGCTGCGCCTGAGCATTCGTCGCTACCGTCACGGTCGGTACCGTGGCCGTCGGGCTCATATTCAGCTGCCTTCCGGTTGGGTGTTGCTGCACGGGCGCGGCTGCGTGACGATACACCACGAGGCATTGCAATACGCCAAGACAGGAAAGCGCACGAGGAAGATTCGGAGGGGTAATTGCGGAAGGGATTCAAGGAGTTGCGGCTGGGCAGGAAATGGGACGCGGTGTAACTCGGCGTTCGTGCACCTGATGCAGAAAAGGGAGATGGGGATTGATAAGGGTTTGTGTTGGAATACATCGGTGCGGATCACGGGATCAGCGTCGGGAGAGATCTAGATGCACGCCCCCCCGCCGTCGACGGCGCCGAAGTATGCCAACGGGGGGTGTGTAGTTGGGCCACGTGGTAATAGGCCACGTGTACGGGCTAAAGCGCCGGCGGCGACCGGCGCTGCCGACGGATATTTTAGGTGTACAATTTTATTGAAATAGCGCCGACCAGAATTGGTCGGCGCACCGGGCGGCAGAGCAGGCTACGACCCCGGGGGACATTGTGCCCTTCCTTCTTCGCCGCGCCACATCCCTCTCTCGCGACTAACGTTCCCCCCCTCGTTCGCCCTACCGCTGCGCGACGCGCGGATACTACGAGCCGCCACCACCCGCAACCATAGCTGTACCCATGTACAGCTCGTCGGCACCGGCAGCTTGCCGTACAGTAGTGACTTCAACAACCGCAAGTCCTCCACACTGTACTGTATTGTGATGCCGTGCCGTGCTCTAGAGTACATTTACAGTAACCCCGAGATCGCCTTGGCCAATTTACCACTAGTGTGACCATTCGCTTCGGTGGCTTTTCTCCCTCGGAACTTTTCGCTCACTCGGCGAATGCGATACCGGTGCCGTTGGGATAGTCTAGGTGCAAAGTCGCGAAACAGGGAAAGGAACGGTTTCCACCCGCGTTGAGGAAGGCGCCCATATCTCTGCCTCTCGCAATGACTATTAGATCGCATCAGTAAGCGTCGTGTCTTGAACGGCGTTCCTCTCAGCTTTGTGCCAATCCTGCTCATTCCAGTTTCACTGTGGTCCACCGAAAGCTTCATCATCTAATATCATCGACTAACGTCTTCGCTTCGAGTTGTCAAGGCGAAGGCTCATCAATTGCGCATCTCACTCCTGCGATGTCTTCAGCCCAAGCGTTTCTAACGCCAATATCTTCTTCGTTCTCCGGTATGCAGTCTAATTTATACCCTATTTCACGAGTTTTTCGTCACAGTTTGCACACACGAATATCATTTGCTCGAACCCGAACTGCGTCTCCCCGTTGGACCTGTTCCCGCGGTCGCCGAAGACTACACGTTGGCGTGCCGAAAGGTATCGACTTGGGTAATCCGCTTGTGCAACTCACTGCTGAGGAATGCCCGTGGGAGGACTATCTCGTACCTCAACTAGCTGGAAACGCCACGGTGAAGGACCCTTCTCGCTTTGCTGCAGGAAACGATTTTGTTGTTCTTGGCGTGGAGAGTTCCTGCGATGACACCGCTGCTGCAGTGATTAATTCTGATGGCACAATTCTGGGAGAATGCAGAGTCTCACAGGATCAGCTCACAGAGGAGTGGGGCGGTGTTGTGCCTCATGTCGCTCGTGATGCCCACGCTGATGCAATTCAACATGTCATTGAATCATCACTCCGGGACGCTTCCATGCTTCCCAGCGACCTCGACGCTATTGGTGTGACGATGGGACCCGGCCTAGAGGTCTGTTTGCGAGTCGGGTATCGTGCCGCAAGAGCACTTGCACTTAAGCATGACACTGAATTTGTGGCAATCAACCATCTCGAAGCTCATGTTCTTGTTAGTCGAGCAACGAAAACTGCCGAGAATATCCAGTTTCCTTTTTTAACGCTACTGGTATCGGGTGGACATTGTCAATTGCTAATGGCATATGATGTGGCGCAGTATGAGGTACTCGGCGGTACCCTGGATGATGCTTTAGGTGAAGCATACGACAAGACAGCGAGGCTTCTTGGTTTGCAAGTTGGAGGTGGTGGTGGACCAGCTCTAGAAAAGCTTGCTCGGAAAGGGAACCCAAAAGCTATTCCATTTCCCGTACCGATGCACAGAAGGCCAGATTGCAATTTTTCGTTTGCAGGTTTAAAGACCTCGGTTAGAGTTGCAATAGACAAACTAGGAGGAGATGAACAGGTTCAAACGGATCAGTCCCTTATGGCTGATATTGCAGCCAGCTTTCAAGAAACTGCTGTCCGTCACCTTGAACAGCGTGTTACCCGAGCGATGCAGCTTTGTGATGACCGTGGGACGGGTGTAAACACCCTTGTAGTTTCCGGTGGTGTGGCCGCCAACGCAGTTATAAGAACAAGACTAGAATCAGTTTGCGCGACGCAAGGCTGGTCTTGTTCAATTCCCCCGATGAATCTTTGCACGGACAACGGTGTGATGGTGGCATGGGCTGCTGTGGAACGCCTGAGAAGGGGCATTGCAGACGATCATACCAACCTCGACGTGCGGGCACGATGGCCTCTTGCGGGCTTAGGCCAACTCTCAGAGCCACTTCCCGAAGAGGCTAGTCGGTGAGACAGATGGCCCAGAGAGCCCAGAGAATCGAATATAAGGATTTTTATCTATAGACTCAGACATGCGGTGGAGTGCAGTTTTGTTCATGTTCTTAGATGAACGGAAAAAAGCCACCTATGTCAGCTTGGTCAGGCAGTTGAAGAGTACTACTTCATCACTTGTGGGGCGCTTTTCGAAGAGCGTGGATGAGCAGGGCTGCGAAGGGCTGCAAGCAAACTGTCCTCAAACACTGTACGCTAGCGTAGTGCGTACAAGGAAAAAGTCCCTTCTGTGCATATCAAAGAGAAAAGACAACACCTATGGTTAAGTTGGCTGGGATAGTGCAGCATTTTATGAGTCTAGGGTATACCGTCAGTTTCGGGTCATCTATGATTCTTGATATGTACAGCTGATGCAGGGCGTTCAAGAACTTCGAAGTTGCATACAAATTAATGAAGACCATGGCTATCAGCACGAAAAACCATGGGCCATGCGCAGTTCATTCATATTTCACAGGATACATCCAGTGACGACTTGATTGCTTTTATCTGTACAGTTGTTCATTTAGAAATGGGAGCCTCGGTAACTTTGAAACGGCCACACAATGAAGAATGGCATCGTTAGTCTCACTAATGGAAGATCGAATATGCCGTTACCCAAGTACCTCCAAAGAGCTATATTTGTTTTCATTTGTCATAGCGATGTGAGGGAATCTCGGCGTTGCCACTGCAATGCATCGTAAGGAGTTTTATTACAGAGATAAAGGGCACGTGGTTCAGGACAATATGGATGAATAGCTCGTAGAGAATGTAGCTGAGCGAGACATGAGTCACAACCATGAACCGCGTGTGTACTGCATGCATATTGCACGGAGTCAGCGATCGGAATATCAGGGCATACTTATCACGACGACGTCGGAGAGGGGGAATGAAAGGAGTGCGGTGTGGGAACTAGAGCCCAATGTGGGACAACACTACTGTACAATTTGGCGATGAAAACTATTGCACATTCTGATCGAGGGTTGTACGTTGACCAAAAAAAGCTGTGTAAGGCCATTGCTGGGATGACAAAGAGGCGTGCGTGTTTCATGGTGCAAGTGATGTTAAGAAGGACAGAGAGGCCTGCAGGGAGAGATGCAATGCTGCCCTAATGGTTGTGAGTAGATCAGTCAGAGCGGTAGAAGGGGAATGATCATAGAGGTGAGCGTGGGAGGAGGTGGAAAGAAGAGGTACTGATTCTGGGCGGAAAAAGGTGTATCACTGTACCCTTGGCACTGTACATACAGTGGTGTTGCTGTGCAGTAACCCTTGGTACTGTACAGTACTGCAGTGGTATTCTATAACTGACGGTCGTCGGAAGGCAGAAAAGAGCGGAGCCATGACGTGTTTCCTTAAGCGGCCAGCCATGGCTCGGAAGCTGCCTGAGTTGAGAGGCAGATGAGAATCTGATTTCGTGAAAAATGGCAGCGATAGAGGGGAGACAATCAAGAAAGCGTTGTCCGTCGGTGTAAACTTGAGGACAATACGTGGATGCGTGTTTTCCGTGCCATACATCTTTTCCACGCCGCAACACCGTACGTGTGTATGCTTGTACGGCTCAATATTGTGTACATACACAGGATGTCCATATGAAGTGAGGAGAGCACTGGCGGTAAGTGGCTCTCGTGGTACTGAACTGTTGAGGGGTAACTTTACTGAGGTTATGGGAATTGGAATTGGTGAGATATTTTGTGGTTCACGCAGTGTGTGCAAGCAACGGCGTATTAAGAAGGGAAACAGCAGAATAAATATCTGCGTAGAATTGTATGTGGCGCATAATCACCACAGGTTTCAGGTACAGTGCTGTCCATTACGCTGTTTTATAAACAAGGTCAGATCAACGAAGCAACAGGTAATTTACAGGCAGCGTCAATAGTGCAAGCTGTTGGCAGCATTGGGGATTGGTAAAGCCTCTGTACCGAAAGGCATTTCACTTTCCTAAGAATGTGCCGAAAATTGCGAGACTGTGGGGTGGGCACATGTACGCCTGGTACTGGTAAGGGTACAGTACTCCACGCGAGCTCGTGAGACCTGAATCTGGCGCGTGTGAACAACATGTCCCAGGAGAACAAGGTAAAGAGAATGGCAGATCAAGCACTGCGCCAATCCAAACGACACGGAAAAGCCAATGGACACTGGAAACAAGGCGGGGATACTCCTCCTTCCCCTTGCTATGATGTATGTGTGAAAGGATGTTCCGGGGCATTTCTACTGCTCTTGTGGCCACAGATTGGCCTGCAGAGTACAGACGTTCGGGGCTACCTTGGACCAATTAAAACAAGTCTTGTTTGTCTACTGCCGATACAGTACTGTAATTGCCGATGCACGTCGATCATTTGGGGCTGAATTCAAGGTTACTGAGAAGGCATCTCGCGTCGTGCATCGGGCAGTTTTACAGTACACTGTAATAAAACACATCTCCATAAATAAGACAACACGGATCATGGCAACTATGCGACGAGAACCCGCCAGACATGTGGAGCAGCAGCGTGGTGCATGTCCTGTCAGACACAGTTTTATCCACGAGTCTTGTACCTGCGTTCCATTAATTGGCCAATCCCGCACAATGACTGAATTCAATCTACTTTTATCAAATAGTCGACACACACTTGTGACATTCCAATGATTCCATCTTACACTGTGCCTTCATCTGTTCCCATGGTAGCCCCAATACGATGCGGGATAGCCCCTCACCGACGCATCGGTTGTCATTGCAGATTCTTTGTTCACGACCGAGTCGTAGCACCTGTTCCACCGCTCAAAGCCTGTGACCCGTGTCGCGAGGTTGTCTTGCACCGCTTCATTTCTCCCGCTTGGTCTGTCGAACTGCTCTATCTAGCACCAATTTTCCTCCTTTGACACCCTTCCTTCCCGGCCTTTCCCCTTACAATTCATCTCTCAGCGTCTTCTACTCTCTTGCATTGTTTCCACGCCGGTCAAGACGTGGCTTCATACTTCCCGCTTCAAGGAAGTTGCACACACCGCTTCGTCCCAAACAATATCGTCCACACGCTAGGCTTTTGACCAACAGTTGGGCTGCCTTGTTCTCTTTGACTACCCACTCCGCCTTGCCGCCACTCACCATGCCCAATCACACTTCTTAGCGTCTGTCTTCACCTGCCACACGCCCCTATCCACATGCCTACGCAATTCTCTACATTTAGCTCCATTCCTCCGACCTTAAAAGACTGCGCGCGGCACATCCACTTCGCCTGTATTGTCTCGACTTCTCATCTTATAATCTTCCCAGAGCTCTCTTTCTTTTAAAGCCCTGACCTCAAACGATATTCTATCTATCTGCAAAAACCGACCTCCGGACCTAGTGCAAAGGAATTCATTTGATCTCTCTCAATCAAGGCTTATACGGCACATCATCTCCCTGCTCATTCCCGGCCCTTTCCGTGCTCGCGATCCTCTCCTTTATGCTACACTACCAACCTCGCTACTCTTCCGCACCTCTGCTCTTCACATCAAGTTGCTATCAACCTCTCCGCTTCCGCTCAAACTGCTAAGCCTCGTATGTCTTCGCTCATGACAACAACGCGTCATATCGCTCCTGGGGCACCTGTACCGGTGCCGCTCGCACCTGCAGCTCCCGGTCCCGTTCAAGCTGCGGTACCTACGAAACCACACGAGGAGGCCCCGCCGGTTATTGGCGCCAACGACATCATATTCGTCAATGGCCAGGCGTTCAACGGAAGAGGGTACCCAGTATGCGGTGTTGCAAACCAACGAGGTCGATTATGTGGTCGAATCGGAAGCTGTCCGTTTCACTCCAAGAAAAACTCGTCCGCAAAAAGGCCTCGCTCTGGTGTTTCTACGACAGATGCTTCAACGTCTTCTAACTCTACGTCCGGAAAGGCAATGACGGGTACAGAGAACGAAACCGGCAATGGACCTCTGCATACTATCGTGAAGCCTGGTGGACATACTCGCTCTGCGCACCCTGCTATTCGCCAGATGGCAATCCCACCTCGCCGTTCTCGTTTTAAGCGTTCGTGGACAACAGATGAACATAGACGTTTCCTCCAGGCAATGCGGCGCCATGGCAAAGGGAAATGGAAGGAAATTGCTGTAGAGGTTAAGACTCGAAACGCCAATCAATGCCAATCACATGCCCAGAAATATTTTCTGCGACAAGCCAAAAGCGACTCAGAGCGAAAGAAGAAGTCCATTCATGATGTTACTGAAGCAGACATGTCTCAAGAAACTGCTGCCCATGGTGCGACTTCGCTTGTTTGGCCTCCTATGGGCCTTCAAGCCCTTCCGCAAGGAGTGCCAACTTCTGCCACGTCCACCCATCCCGCGGCTGTTTCTCCAGGCGGAGTATCCGTGACTCCGATAGCATCTCGGCCTGCAACGTCTGGAGTTCCGTTGGCCCCCCGATTACCTGCCGAGAAGGTTGAGAACGTGTCCGTGGTTGGGAGGAATGCATCTGCGGCGGGTAATCTGCATCCTCATATAGCGACAGGTGGCAATGGTTTCGGGGTAGGGATGTCTGAGAAATCCACCCACGTTGCAACCTGGGGAGGACCAGCAGTATCCCGGGACGCGAAGTCGAGCGATCCTATGTCGACAATGGTATCAGCGCAAGCAACGCATGGAGCCGCAAATTCTCTAATTTCTCGAAACAGTAGTGGCAGCCCAACAATACCTGTCGTATTCCCAATGACGAGTCTCGGTTTGTCGTACGCACCAATGGTTTCTTCCTTCATGAACACGTCCATGGCCAACCCAGGGAACGCTGCTGTCGTTGCCCCACCTCCACCTTCGAAGACTAGAGTCACGGTTCATGTTAATGGGCGACTTAAAGGTGGAATGGCCCTGATGTTGCCCGAGAGCTTCAGTGAATTTTTCGAGCACTCTCGTTCGAAACTTCAGTTTGAAGGAACATTCGCAAGGGTGTTCACCCGCAGTGGCGGAGAAATCACAAGCACAGATGAAATGTGCCAGGACGATATGTTGTGGTTGTCTACAGGGGAAGATTTCTTAACGCCAAGATAGGAATGATATTCAAAAGCCCCTTGCTAGTCAATTGCCACATTATTGAAGAGATAAATACTGTAGAGATATTGTACAAAACTGTACAGAGAACAAAACCTTAGCTCAGTGAAATCTGAAGGCTTTCATACTGGTCCTTGGCTGGAAGAAGCTTCAGAGAAGTGTTCCCTCCAGTTCCAGCGTGATTTCGCGGCGAATGTAAACAAGCAAACACCAGATGATTTACTTGCAATCGATCTGGAGAAATTTTCCTGTGTTTTATCTTTCAAAACGTCGCTTGACAATATGTGGATTCTTCTTCTTTTTCGACCTGGTTCTATAACCCTTAGTGGGTTTACCCCATTTAGAAACAGATGGTCTTCCTCCGGAAGTTTTACCTTCCCCACCACCATGGGGATGATCGATTGGGTTCATGGCGACACCCCTCACTGTTGGCCTAATGCCCTTCCACCTCATTCGCCCGGCTTTCCCAAAGCTTTGATTCTTGTGCTCCGGGTTTGACACTTCGCCTATCGAAACCATACACTGCAACCTTACAAGTCTTTGTTCCTTGCTCTGAAGCCGTAGCAAAGCAAGCCCGCGACCTTCGTCGCGCTCAAGAACCTGTGCACTGGTACCTGCGGATCGGCACATCTGGGCACCATATCCAGGTCTCAGTTCAATATTGTGGACCTTAGTGCCCACTGGAACAAAGCGGAGGGTCATTGCATTGCCAGTCTTGACGTCGACCCTCGTCGATCGACTGGCGATGACCTCTTGCCCAATCTGCAGCCCTGCTGGGCAGATAATGTAGGCATAGCGGTCAGGCCTGACTTTCTTTGGAACGGCCTTGCACTTTGTCTTGTGTCTTACCAGTGCGATAAGCGCGGATCTGTTTGGATCGTATTCGATTCTCTCCACGATGCCAGGGATTGACTCCCAGGCTGTGCGTTTGAAATCGATTATTCTGTACATTCGCTTGTTTCCGCCACCCTTATGGCGAACCGTTATGCGGCCGGTCGTTCTGGAGCGACCGGCGCGGCGTGGTAACCCGACTGAGAGACGAGGATGAGGGCGACCTTTGTAGAGACCAGACCTGTCGGTCAAAGCGGTATGGCGATTCGATGGAGTCGTTGGTTTTCGCTGAATGACGCGAGGGCGGGTGATGTCATGCGTGATAGTGCGGACGGAAAACGCAAATGGAGAGGCAGAAATTGATCGTGGTCGTGTATGAGCATTTCGAGAAACCCAAGATGTCAAGCGTGATAACACTGACATTAGGGCTGTAGTTAATGCGGAAGCAGTACAAGGGTTTGTTAGACTTCAGCACATGTATGGATTCAGGCGATCACAGCGACCGCGGTGGTGCACTCTTCATGAAGCAATGGATGTCAATCGAGATCGAAAGGATGCCGAAATCAGCGATGCGTACGTGCGGGATAGCCCAACTCCCTGACGCCTTTCCCTCAGTGATCTCACGAAATTCACTCGGTGAAGAGAATGAGTGCTCTCAACGCTGAGGGTGCGAGGGCAGGGTGCGAGTGTCGCAGCTCTATCCACAATTAAGCGCTTTACTGGACCTATCCCATGATCCGTGTTGTGCAAATATGGTGGCCGGAATTTCGGCTCTCGATCCTCACCGCCAAAAGTTTTAATTTTTTTCAATTCACCTTCCCGAGGGCTTCGCAAAAATGTAGGTTTCGATAGTTACACTACAGTACCAAGGGTACTGTACGTCCCTCACGGGACCTGTCTTTATGCGGTACCTACAGCCTGAACGTTTTTCTCCGACTTCTGGGGCGAGATTCGGAGCGGCAATGAGTAGTACACTCTCGAGGCAAGCGTTCAGTAAGGATTTGAGGGGTGAAGAGGAAGTTGTGGAATCTCTGTTATCGTTTTCCAGTACATAACTAAAATCACCAAATTGCCCCTTTTTGCCATTTGAGCCCTTTTGGCACGTATCGGAAAATGTCGAATGGCTTCCAACAGGTTGTTTTTGCCAGCGTCTTTTCGTCGTGGATGGCACATGGACACCCGACTGGCTGTAGCGGACACTTTTTGGCTGCTCGGGATAGTGCCATTCAAAACTTGTGGGGCTCTGCCAAAAAAATTCCCAAATTGCCCCGGCCAGGAAGGGTACCCCTGTACTACAGGGGTACAGCACCCTTCCGCAGGTGGCCGACCTGTGGGCTAAGGTGCCAATAGCGGCCGGCGCCAGCGACGGCTTTACGCCATTTTTCGAGTTTTGACCTCGGGGCTTTGTTTACAAAGCGGGCTTGTTTAGCCTGTCCATCGGACTGCGCAGTCTGAAGAATTCTTAATGCTTTCAGTTGCTGGTACCCTTCGTAGGGTAATCGTAGAGGTTTTCGCGGTAGCGACCGAAGCGACCAGCAATGAGTCATAACACGATGCAAGTACAGTATTTCTATTTTTCGACACTAACACAAGCACAATACGGCACAGTACCAGAGCTGGTACAGCACACACATTGACATCAATGTGTGTGCTACAGTATGTGCAATTCCTGAGTTATATATTCATCTCGATGATAGCAATAATGCTCTTAAGTGGTACAACTTTCTCCGTTATAAGCGCATTGTTGAGTGTTGGGATTACTGTACCATACATACATACAGTAAAGGTGTCATAGGCGTCATACCGGCAACATGTCTCGCTTCTGTGTTCAGTCCTGCCCAAACAGTGGGCAAATATTTATGACATGCTTCTATCGCTGGAACAAATGTACCTATCGGATGTAGCCCGAATCGGGCCTGTGTAGCGCAAAACATGGAGGCGACCGCCGTTTCATCGCCCCGCCAAACAAAGGAGGTGGGATACTTTCCTCAAACCTCACCACATCACACGGTGACTTGCTTGCGATCTCGGTCACCGGTGATGGGAACTGCGCATCGCCAATGCAGAAATCCCCCCATGACCCGCATTTTTTCATCATCTCACTCTCTTCCCTCAGTTTTGCCAACGCAAGTTTTGCCTCCCTATCCCTTTCCTCTTGTTGACAAACCTGCCCCACTATCGAGTAGCCTTCATGGATCTTGAAAGGCGCATCGAATCGAAAAACCATTTGCTCCTTGTCGTCTTCCATCTCCACATTTATATCGGTTCCTGGTTTGGTACTAATCATCACAAAAGGAAGGTCTACTCGGTTTGGGTCCGGCCGAACGTATTCCATGTCGTCACTGACAAGAACGTCAAAGCCCGTCGTAACCCCTGTCGAATCTCGTGATGCATTGCGCGTCACAATTTTTTCTAGATATGCCTCCTGGCTGCTCAACTCAGATATCCTGGCTCGCTTCTCAGCAATGCGTTTGCGCATTCGCTCATTCTCAAGCTTGCAACGTTCGACTGGACCGAGATTGCAAGTATGCACAGTGATCCCAGAGTTATCATCGGTAACATTGCCCTGTTGCCTTGCGCTGACACCACCGGAGCTGCCTGCTGACTGACATTCGCAGGTACCCCTTCCGGTCGCATCTGCCTCCACGTTAGGGATGCGTAGGCCGACGTGCCTCATAAAACCAGCAATGCCTTTCCACTCCACGTCTTTGCCAGATCGGGCGACGAAGCCCATAGAAGCGAGCACGTTGAGAGCGTCGTAGACTCGGCGCCTGATGTTCTTGTCGACCTCTGCAGCTGAGAAGGGTTGACCGTCGTTGCGGAGTCTGTCGAAAGCGTCACGTACAAGTTCGTCGGCTACGGCAGTGTAGGAGGAGGAGGAATGATACTGCTTGAGTTTCGCAACAACAGACATGGTGAACGTTTTGAGTCCGTTGAGCGAGGTCTTCTGAGAGGATTGTGAGGCATTGGAAGTGCGAGAGCGGGTTTTGCGACGAACTCGCGGGGTAGAAAGAGGGACGGAAGTCGACGGGGACGGCTGAGGGAGCAATGGGGCTGTGGTGCGACGTCGTTTTGGGACTGGAGGCGGGGTTGATAAGGAAGAGAAGCTGAGCGGCAGAGGGGAGGATTGGGGTTGTTGGGGTAACTGAGTCAACGATGAGAACAAGAGTGGAATTTGGGGCGGTGCAGCAGATTGCGGTGCGAGAGGGGAGGATGTAGATGAGGTTGGGAAAGGGACGGAATGGTGGAGAATGGGGTTTGGAGGGAGGTCGTGCGAGGTTGGGAGAGTGTTGTCGAAAAGGGGTGGGGAGTAAACGGGATGAGGGTGCGGGTGGGGTTGAGGTTGGGAGTGCGGAAAAGCGGTAGCGTCCATGTCGAGGTGTTGAGGCTAGAAGCGGTGAAAGTGACCGATGAAGCGAGACGTGGGTGATACAAGTTTGGGGAGTGATAAACGTAGCGAGGGTGCCGGTAAATGGAAGAGACGGACGAGGCGGGAGCGATGAAGCGTGGGGGGATGAGGGGTGTCGCAGTGGGGATCATGAAGAAGGAAAAAAAGTGGGCGGGTCTGCGAAGCGGGCGGGGTATGTATGGGGGATGAGAGGATGTGACGGTTCTAGCTGGAATTAAGAATCAAGGAAATGGGTATGATGACAATGAGGATGACGAAGAAGCGGGAAGATGAGCGGGAGGGATG